ATATATATATATATGTATATATACAGAAATTTAATATTGACAAATTTAATACTAAAAATACAGAATTCGATATGTATATAAATTCACTTTGAAATATTTAAGCATCAAGATCCGCTTTAACTGAAAATAAGTTTATTTCTCTTAATTGATTTATTTTCATCGGTCTAATAATATAATAAATTCTAATTATTAATAGTAAACGGTAGTAATTAATTTATACAGCATAGACTTCCAAAGAGCGTCTTAAAGACACGCAGAAGATATTTTTACATTTTTACATTTTAAGAACGTTCCTAAAGACCTCTCTCGGATAAAGTGTGCTGTGGGAATTACTTATTTAAAGTATTAAAAGCACTGTTGTTCAGTGCTTTTAATAATTAATTACTGTCTTTCAGTAATAAATCTAATAATCAATATTAGATTTCTCTAAGGGAAGATCTCTAGCGATTTACGTCTGTCTTGTTCATGACACGAAGCCCAGCAGCAAGGCGGCGTCATGGGAGTTGGTTGCAATTGCGACGGCGACGTCGGCTGCATGGGGCATGAGTTGCCGGTGCATTTTCGCAGCAATCTCGGAGGCGGTGCGCCAGGCGCGCTCAGCTGCGAAACTTGCAAGTGTCCGCTATTTTTCAGCTCCTGCTTCCGATCCAGCACGGTCTCGCTCTTTACGTAGAAGGCTTTCGTTTCCTGCAGCAGTTCAACAGCGCTCTTCCGCTTTCCTGTAACACGAACGTAACACGGCGTAAAGAAAAAGGTCATCAGTGAGAGATTACTGGTGTAAATAATCCGCTTTCTGGAAGGAAACACCGTTTTCAGACCAGATACCTGATTGAACCACGTGCGACAGTGGGTCCCCACATAATCGCTAAATTTATGGAAACCGGCTTCTCTTTAGAATATCAGTTCCCAATAGGGTCTTTGATCTTTAATATTTATGCTAGGCTGATCAAATGTCCCGGAAGAATCACGTTTCACACCGGTACGTGCATGCGTTTTGCCTCAGCTTATTCGAAGCTTAATTTTTTATTAACGAATAAGTATTTAAGTATTTTATGGAAATTTCTCTATCACTTTTCAAACTCGTTATCACTCTTTTTTTTTTATACATATTTCAGCGCTGCTATCCAGTCGAAAAAAATGAAACAGTGACTGTGGAAAAGTGACAAAAAGTAACTGTTCACATATTAAATAATAATCAAAAATGACTAAAACATTTTTTTATTATATTTTTAAAGTAATGATTAGGGAGGAATCTGGTTAGGTTTTTAGATCGCTGTTTTTTTGTGAATTTTTTATAAACAAATCATGAAACCGATCTTTCTAAAACTTTAGGAGTAATTTATTATATACATATTTCAGCAATAATTTTTTATTAAAATAATGAATACAATAATAAATTATATATTAATCATTATTGTGCTTCAGCACAGATGTTGCTAATTAATGTACAATGTGGAGTCTGTAATTCTTGCTTGAATCAAAAATACCAAAAATTTTTTGAAATTAGATAATAATATTTTATTTTAAATGAACTAAAAAAAAATAGAAGAAAAGTATCAAATTGGAAAAATTGTGGAACTTTGAAAAAAAAAATTACGATTTTGAATATAAAATTTCGACTTCGTTATGCAAAAATAACTTTTTAACAAATGTTTTTGGTTCATTTAGATTGGCAGTTATGTAATTAAAAAACTTTGGACGAAGTCGATTGGTTCAAATAGTTTTTGAATATCTTGTACGCCAATGTCGAAAAAGTGGTTTTGAGAAAAACATATTTAAACATATTTAAAACGTATTTAAACATATTTTCGATATCGCTGTATATCTGCGCGATGCGTACCTGTTTCTCATATATAACTACGCTATAACTACAAAAGTATTTTGAATTTCAATCTTTACGAGTATATTTTTAAAGAGTAATACTATCGATTAAAGCAAAAAAATACGAAAATTTTTATTCTCTAACAACCAGGTTTCCTCCTTAAGAGTAAAAAATATTTAGTCTTATTTTTCCTGGTTTTGAAAAATTTAATATATGTTACAAATTCTTTTCATAGCATGGTTTCAAAGTTTATGATAAGAATAGAACAAGGATTTGAATGAAATGGAATACAAATACATCTCTGATGTAATTTTATAAAATAAAATAAATAATTATTTTATTATAT